CCCCCACTTCCCTGATGCTGTTGTTACTATTGTCTTTAGCTCTCCTGCTGTCATTGTGGGGACGCTGGCATTCTAAAAACATTTGAATCAAGTGAAGCCGGGTAACTAGCATGAGTGTCCAGTTGATGTAGCTCAGTGGTTAGAGCACCGGTTGGAAATGCGCATTGTGGTATGAGGTTGCGGGTTCAAATCCGCAGCCTCACGCATGGACACCGGCAGGGCGTTAGAATGGCGCACTGCTGGACACACACCCCTTGGGCTGACGCATGGTAAGCTATTACAGGCACTGCCTGTGCACCACCCAGGGGACTGTCCATGGTGTTGTATGTTGGGTCCTGGCCTATGAGCGGTTTGCCTGATACAGTTAGCAGTTTAATGAGGATGCAGGTATGGGTTTGTGGTTAGACTGCTCATGTGTGTTGGTTACCTTAGGCTCTGCTTTGGGGGGGGGCAAGGACCTGAGGTGGGATGGCGTCCCGTTTGGGGGGAGGGTTGGCTTTGGACAAGCTCTTCTGGAGGATATCGGTGGGGAACCTACAGTAGGGGATTGTCTTAAGCGATCCCGGTAGGAGGATGTTAGTACACAGACTCTGGTGGAGGAAATCGTTGGGGAACCTGCAGTAGGGACTGTCTGAGGGGGATCCTCCAAGATAGGATGGTCTGGGTCCCATAAATTAGTTGCTGACTGTAGATAGGTACCTGTCGTGGGTCCAGAAACCGACCTCTACAACACCCTGGACTTAAAAAAAAATTAAAAAAAATTAAAAAAAATTAGAGGCTCATCATGAAATCTGGGCCGAGGTCCACCATGCACCCGGATTGGCAGGGTTTTTTGTTTTTTTGTTTTTTTTTTCAGATTGGCAGATTCGTCGTTTCTGGCCATCGATCTTTGGTTCAGCAATGAAGAATCTGGGTAAGTGGAACCTTGCCAGGCTGGTTTTTTTGGACCTTGCCCCCGGAATGAGACATCCTTATTCTCTTGTACACAGTATGTTGTAGGGTGTACTCAGTGAAGGATTTTTTTGGACTGAATCTGACCAGCATTGCGGACATATACATCCAGGAATTTAAAGTAGTAGTGTCAGTATCCCCTTAGTCGTGTACATTTAACCAGGTTGATGTTCTCGAAAATAGAATTGCGCTGATACCATGGTGGAACTACTGCCGTCACCTGCCCGGTCATTAGCGCTGCATCGAGACTGAAAGTTGCACCACCTACAGCTATGACCGGGCCTTCTTTTTTTTCATTCGTTTTGACCCACCAGTGGATTTTCAGCGAAACAGCATCCCGCCACACGAGGCTGCATCCGCGCCCTGTGTTAATAAAATGGTTGGGAAATGTACTGGTGGTTTAAGGGACATGCTCCGATCTATTAATGGGGGGTAGCAGCAGCACGCGCTGGAAACCGGGCCCAGCGTCCCACATAGATATTACGAAAACATCTCAGATACTGGCACCTTTACCTAGCTTCGGCCCAGAATCATTCTTTAAAAAACAAACTTCATGGGGGTAGCAGCACGTGCTGGAAACCGGGCCCAGCGTCCCACATAGA